AAAAAAAAAAAAAAAGATTGGCCTGCACCATTTGCTTCAAATTCTTTCACGAAGGTTCTCCTGAATTCACCTGGTAGTTGATCTAGCCGTTTGTTGGAGCTAACTGCCTTTATCTGAAGGAATATGGAGGCTGCTCCCATCTCTAGAATAAGCGTATTGTTACAGCTCAGAAAAGGGTGCCTTGGTTAAACCCCCATAGTGACGGGGGTCCGAGTGCTGTTTTCCTAGATGTTTACACTCGAAAGGAATGACCCCCAGACCCTTGAAAAATCAGGTCGTGGTTGTGAAGCTGGCAGGAGGCCCACTCAGCGGGCAGCTGGGGTTTTTAGATGACTGGGTTGGTAGGATGGGGGGGGTTGAGTACATTGGCAGGGGTGTGGCTGGAGTGCTCGATGGAGGAGGCTACGTGGAGGGGGCGGCGGGACGGAGCAAGGAAGCGGACCCCAGCGCTGAGGGCCTCGAAGGCCGAGGTGAAGGGGGGAGCTGGAGAAAGGCACACGAGGTCGTGGTCACAACAGCAGCTGCTGGGGAGGGGTCACCAGTAGCAGAGGCCGGGTGAGAAAAGAGTGGAGACAGAGGCCATTGAAACTCCAGAAACAGTCTTAGGCCATCTGTCCAGGCATGAACATCGTCCGGGATGGTGACAGAGTTCAGGAGACCGAGCCCCAGCCCAGAGCCCTCGTTAATGAGGCGGGAGGGGAAGAGTCTCCGGGCGGCAGGGTTTGTATCCTGTTGAGGGTGAGCCGGGCCCCATCAGGGAGCACAGACTCCTTGGGTTTTGTTTTGCTTGCTTGCTCCTGGCTCCCTGTGACGGGATCCGCTCCTTCTGTCAGGTGATCGCTCACCCAGATGGACTTTCTCCTGTGGACGTTTGCAGGTTTCTCGGCGCGGAAGTGGCACAGCGAGCAGCCGAGATGTCCGTGGAGCCGATGAGCTACGAGGCCCAGTTCTTCGGCTTCACGCCGCAGACGTGCATGCTCAGGGTCTACATCGCCTTCCAGGACTGCCTGTTTGAGGTGATGCAGGCCGTGGAGCAGGTGATCCTAAAGAAGCTGGAGGGCGTCCCGGGCTGCGAGGTCAGCCCCGTGCAGATCCGGAAGTGCACGGAGAAGTTTCTCGGCTTCATGAAAGGACGGTTTGACAGCCTCTTCGGCAAGATGGAGCAGCTGTTTCTGCAGCTGGTTTTGCGCATCCCCCCGCACATCTTGCTTCCGGAAGATAAAGCCCAGGAGACGCACCCCTGCAGCGAGGAGGAATTCCAGCTTCTCCAGAAAGAAATTGAAGAGCTGCAGGAGAAATACAGGACTGAAGTGTGCGCCCAGCAGGCCCTTCTCGCAGAACTGGAGGAACAAAAGATCGTTCAGGACAAACTCAGGCAGACCTTGGCTTTGTTCGATGAGCTGGACGGCGTTGGCCGAGATCAGGGGGCTAGTGACTTCAGGGAGAGCCTGGCGCTCCTGGTCCAGAACTCCAGAAAACTGCAGAGTATTAGGGACGACGTGGAAAGGGAAGGCAAAAGACTGAAAGTTTCTTAATTTCTAGGTGGTAACAGGAGTGGGATGGACGTCAAGGGTGGTCTCACTGTACATTTCTCGAATTCTCTTTGTCCCTCTGTCTTGTCGTCCGCACCGTCCTGTTTAGGTGCGCCTCCCGAGCTGTCTCCACACTCGCCGGGACTGCTCTCTGGAGCTTCTGTTCCTCAGAGACTTAGCACGTGGGAAGGGGTCCCCGGTTCAGTAACCGCTCACTGGGGACCGTGACTGAAGAGGCACAAGCGCCTTGGCCGGTCAGGGATGTTTGGAAAAGTTCCGCCTTGGTCATGAGTCCTGCGTAACCTCGAGCCTCTTGACGTCCTCTCCGGATGCGATCAGATGAGAAAAGGTGAAGTGGTGGCTTCGTCACGACCCAGCCGCTGCACCCCGAGAGAGCGAGCGAGCGAGCGAGAGCCAGCACAGACTGCCCGCTCTTGGCCACCACTGTGTCTTCCGTGGGGAACTTCACTAATGCACAGAAGCGAGTAGAAAACACACCCGGGATCTTTAGTCAAGAGGAAAGAAGCTGGTTTTGTTCCAGAAAGAAATCCCTCCCGTGATCAGGCTTTCAGTGACGTGAGACACCTTGCCGTCCGGGAGCCCAGCAGTGGAAGAGCGTGGACACAGCCCCGGCGGATCTCGGGAACAGCGAGGGAAACCCGGAACATGGCCAATAGCGAGGTTTATATGAATTGACTGCTAGGTATTTTTATCATTTATTTTCATACGTCAGTTAGATTTGGAATCTGCCCTGTGCCTAATATTTAATTAACATATTTATTCATACTCCTAAGCATCAAATATTTAGTGCCCACGGTGGGAAATTTTAGCTGTGTCTTGGGCGTAAATTTCGTGGAGTCTAATACTTCTGTAATTAATCGGTGTAAAATGTCCTCTCCCCCAGAGAGAGAGGACGGGTAGCGATACTTGCTATTGAGGTGTTTCCTGCCCTCCGTGTCTTCCTAAAGAACGGGATTTGAGTTGCTTCCTTATATAGAAGAGGAACTCAGGGCATTAATATTTGCAATTAAAGATTCATAGACTTAAGATGCCTGTGTTTACCTGGAATATGTTTATTATCCAAAAGTCTTTGCCAGTCCTGTACATTAAATGCATATATTTTAAAGGCTTTAGTTTCGAATCTCTGCTGTCTATAATGTCATATTTCCTTCTTCAGTATGACCTTTTGTCCGAATGAAAGTTTTCTTTTTTTGCATTTGTAGCTTACTATTATTATTTAAAGTAACCACTACGCCCAACATGGGGCTTGAACTCATGATCCCAAGGTCAAGAGTCATGTGCTCCAGTGACTGAGCCAGCCCGGTGCCTCATGTTTGTAGTTTATTTAAAACCTTCTAGTACAGAGGGCTAGATGGTGATCCCCCCAAACGCATGGCCGTGTCCTGATTCCTGGAATTAGGAATTCCTAAAATGCTTTTTTTTGGAAAACTGGTCTTTAGTGGGACTAACTATGATCGGAGACGAGGGGAGCATCCTGAATTATCTGTGCCGGGGCGTGCATCCAACAGCCGGTGTGTTTGTTAGAGACACGGGGAGATTGGGGGCGAGGCCAGGAGGCAGTGTGGCCGCGGCGGCAGACGGGAGCGATGTGTCCCAAGCCCAGATGCCAGCAGCCGGCTCACAGAGGCAGAGACCAGATCCCCGCTAGAGCCTCCAGAGGGCGTATGTCCCCCGCATTTTGGATTTCTGGCCTCCAGACCCGGGAGGGAGTGCGCATCTTTTGTTTCTTGTTTCAAGTTACGTGTTACCACGGGAGACCAATACACCTCGTTAACTAGCACATTCGCATATTCATACCCAGAAGAAGGGAGGCTGCTTATTAAGGAAGCAGCATCTGAAAGCTGGTGGTCTAAGGGATGTGTATCAGCCTCCACGGGGCCGGGAACATGCGGCCGCAGGAAGGGTCGTGGGGTGAACACGAACAAGATGGAGGGCCGGAGATGGAGAAGTATTGTCAGCGCTCCCAGTAAGGGACCACCACGTAAGACGCTCTGCGCTCAGTTCCGATGTGCGTGTGGGCATGGGCTCGGGGGGTCCCCAAACCATCCAGGAATTCTGGGGCACCACCTGGGTGTCCTACAATTCAACTCCGTTCTGACCGTATGTACAATGTGGTGACATACTCCCCATCCAGCACGGCCGCCCCCTCTTCAGATGCCCGTCACAGGCCCGGTGCCTCGCCTCTGCTTCCGACCAACTGGCTGTCGATCACAGGTTCCCATGACCCCCTCCTCGGGCTCAATTAATTTGCTAGAGTGGCTCACCGAACTTTGTTTATTACAAAGGACGTATGAATCAACAGCCAGATGAAGCGATATAGGGTGAGATCCCAAACGAAGGGGTTTTGTCCCCACGGGTTTGGGCCCAGCGTGGCCATGTGTGGAAGCTTTCCAACCCCCCTCCTTTGGGTTTGTATTTAGGCTTCATGACATGCATCATTGGCCATTGGTGTTTGAGGTTGGACGCCTATCTCCCACCATTGTATAAAAGTGAACCCAAAATGGATCGAAGATCTAAATATAAATGCTAAAACTATAAAAATGCTTGGAAGAAAACATGGGCATAACTCTTCCTCATCTTTGATTAGGCAGTAGTTTTTTAGGACACCAAAACGCAGCAAAGGGGAAAAAAATAGATCAATGATATCTTCAAGATGAAAGATCAAAAGAACTTAGTTGGGGTGCCTGGCTGGTTCAGTCCAAGGAGCGAACGACTCTTGATCTCAGGGTCGTGAGTTCGAGCCCCATGCTGGGTGTAGAGATTACTTAAAAAGCAAAGATTCAAAAACCTTTGTACTTCAAAGACATTGTCACAAAAGTTAGAAGGCAGTGCACAGAATGGTAGGAACACTTTGCAAATATACGACCCCAAGGTCAAGAGCTGCAGGCTTTACCTACCGAGCCAGCCAGGTGCCCCCACCTTTTTTTGTTTTTGTATTTTTTCAGGCAGCCCAATTTTAAAAATGGGTGGTGGGCACTGAGTGTTATGTAGAAACTAATTTGACAATAAACTATTTGTAAAAAAAAAAAAAAAAAAAATGGGTGGTGGATCTGAAAAGAAGGTAGACACTTGGCTGGTGAGCCCAGGAAAAGATCTATCAACATCATTGCCATCAGGGAAGTGCAGATCAAAGCCACGATAAGATTCCACTTCATACACACTAAGGTTATGTCTTAAAAAAGAAAAAGGTGGGCGCCTGGGTGGCTTAGTCGGTTAAGCGTCCGACTTTCGCTTAGGTCATGATCTCGCGGTTCGTGGGTTCGAGCCCCGCGTCGGGCTCTGTGCTGACTGCCAGCTCGGAGCCTGGAGCCTGTTTCAGTCTGTGACTCCCTCTCTCTCTGACCCTCCCCTGCTCACGCTGTCTCTCTCTCTCTCTCTCCTAGAAATAAATAAAAACATTAAAAATAAATAAAAAAGAAAAAGGTAAGGGGACGCCTTACTGATGGCTCAGTCAGTTATGTGTCTGACTCTTGATTTCGGCCCGGGTCATGATCTCACGGTTTGTGAGCTTGAGCCTCACATCAGGATCCGCACTGTCAGCTCGAAACCTGCTTGGGATTCTCTCTCTCTCTGCCCCTCCCCTATTTGTGCACTCGCGCGCTGTCTCTCTCTCTCTCTCTCTCTCTCAAAAAAAAAAAAAAAAAAAAAAAAAAATAAAGCTTCAGTTTTGGAAAGGAAGTGGAGAAAATGGAACCCTCTACACTTCTGGTGAGAATGTAAAATGGTAGGTACAGCCACTTTGGGAAAGAATCTAGAAGTTTCTCCCACAGTCACACAGAAAGTTACCATGACTCAGCAATCCCGCCCATGTCCACACTTACACAAAAAGTTGTACCAGAATGTTCAGAGCAGTTTTATTCATGGTAGCCAAAAAGTGGAAAACAAGCCCAACGAGCCCACCTAACGGACATGTGAAATGTGGCGTGTCCACACAACGGGGTGTTGCTCCACTATAGAAGCAAAGCACGAATTCCCGCTGCAGCGGGGATGGGCTTGGAAAATGCTGAGGGAAAGATGCTGGTCCCCAAGGACCCTGTATGTATGATCCCATTTCCATGAAGTGTGCAGAGCAGTCAAACCTGGAGGGACAGAAAGTCCATTTGTGGTTGCCTAGGGCGGGGGTGGGGCTGGAGGGGGGCGGGGGAGGGGTGTGGCAATAATGAGATATCCTTACATTGATTATGATGGTGACCACAGAACTATGTAAATATATGGAAGCCATTGAACTGTACATTTTATAAAATTTTTTTTAAGTAGTCTTCACACCCAGTATGGAGCCCAACATGGAGCTTGAACTCAGGATCCGGAGATCAAGTCCTGAGCTGGAAAACAAAACAAAACAAAACCTGAGCTAGACTCCCGAAGCGCCCCCAAATTGTACACTTTATTTTTTATTAAAATTTTTTTAACATTTATTTGTCTTTGAGGGAGAGAGGGAGACACAGAATCTGAAACAGGCTCCAGGTTCTGAGCTGCCAGCACAGAGCCCGACGCGGGGCCTGAACCCATGAACAGCAAGATCATGACCTGAGCCAAAGCCAGATGCTAAACTGACTGAGCCACCCAGGCAGGTGCCCCCAAATTATACACTTTGAATGAGTTCTGTGGTAGGTGAGTTACATCTCAATTATGCTAGTAAAAATAAGAGTATACACTCCAGAGACGATTCCCGGGTTCATCTACAGCCGTCACCGGTCTTGTGACCTGGGGCCAATCACTTCACCTGTCTGTGTCCTCATTTTGCAAAATGGAGGAATTAAACGCCTCACGGGGCTGTGAGAATTCCAGCTACAGAAGACGCGAAACCTGTCACACGGTAAGTTCCGCAGGGACCAACGTGCGCTCCCTGAGAGTGAGAGTCGTATCTGTTTTGCTCATCACTATCTCCGGTGCTAGATTCCTAAGAAACAATGAGATGCTTAAAAAGTTAATTCACGAGTCCTCCCAAGCTGAGCTGCTATGTCCCGCACGGCTAAATTCCGATTGTCTCCCCCAGCGGAAAGGTCCTAGTGTCCGTGGCATTCAGAAGCCACTGTCCACTGTCTCTGTGTATCTGCGCCCCCCCCCCGCCACAGCCCGACACAGAAAAGGACCGAGCTGCCCCACATAGTCATCTCTGCCACCATCATGTGTGATCTGCTAGGAGTCCATTTACCGGACATCTAGTTATGTGTGCCTGCCCAGCCTCCATGGTTGCGGCGACTTCGATTTTCCTCAGGGAAACTGTCTCTTTCCTATAGCATGCTCTCCTCCTGAGAGTGCGTGTGAAACCACCTCCTGCGCCTCTGGCCAGATGTGGGCACGTGACCCTTCTGCGTCACTAAGCCCCTCTAGGATTTGGTTCTTGAGCAACATGGCAGAGGATCCCCCAAAATGAATCCATTTGTTTTTACAGTTGAGCCCTAAAGGCTGCCCATTAGTACTTGAGGGGAGAAGCTGGATATTTTGGACAAGGAAACATCGTATTGGAAGCCCAGAAATAGGGGGACAATCAGGAGCTCAAAATAGGGGAGCAGTAACTCAGATATTGTGGAGTATTTAAACTGCATAAGAGGCAGAGTGGCCGGGTCAGACACAAAGTGATTGCTGACAGTTCACATGATGGTGTGAGAGAATTGGAATTTAAAAAAAATTTTTTTAAATGTTTTATTTATTCTTGAGAGAGAGAGAGAGATACAGACAGAGTGAGCAGGGGAGGGTCAGTGAGCGACACAGAATCTGAAACAGGCTCCAGGCTCTGAGCTGTCATCAGCAGAGCCCGACGCGGGGCTCGAACCCAAGAGTCGTGAGATCATGACCTGAACCGAAGTCGGACGCTTAACCAACTGAGCCCCCCAGGAGCCCCAGAGAATTGGAGTTTTAATATCAGGTTAGAAAGTATGAGCCAAGCATTGGAGCTCAGTGGAATCAGACATTTCAAGGGGATATGGGGAATTTCAGGAATTTCAAGGTATAGGGGGAAAGTAAGCTAATTGGGGAGACTATGGGGGTTTGGAAAGAAAGCCATTCACTTAGGGGATGGGGTGAGCTTCATACTGAGGACAGCAGCAAACGGGTGAATGTTAAGAAAGGCTGGAGCACGACGTCAGATCGGTGGTAAGAATCATA